GTACTTACCCAATCTTCTTTTTTTCTTGCCCTCCATTGTTGGGGACAGTTAAGCCTGATTTTTTTTTATAGTAATTACAGTAATGCACTTAACAAATTTTATTTAATTAAATAATGCACCAAAGAATATAGACTTATAATATGCAAAAAGTAGACAAATTCTCTTACCTCTCAAAATTTTCCTGGCTTTCTAACTATGCGACAATCTTGTACTGTGAGTGAAATTGGTGATATTTTGTTCAGAATACAACGTTATACAATACATCATTTGATAGATGAAAACCTTGACTTTCTATTGGTTATAAGTAATATATAATGAAACTTAAGAGAGAACTATCAACAAATTGTGAAAGAGTGGATGTGACAGGTGGGTGTGGCATGAATGGTCTGATTTTCTAATCGATAGCTCTGTAACCAAACAAAATTGAAGGCTATAAAAATTATGGTTTGTTTGAGCAATAACAATTTTATAGAGAATATTTTATGTTTAATTTCATACATTTTCGAGGGGCGATGGCGAAAACTATGGATGATGACATGCTAAGACAAAATGTGTCACATGGGTCACAAAAAGTAGTATAATAAAATTTTGAATGTAAGACACTAAAACCTTGTGTCATGAGCAGTAAAGGGTACCAGGGGTGATAGAGTTGGTTTGTTACATGGACTACATCTTGTATTATTTCTACCAAATACTCCAAAACAGTCAGCTGAATGATATGACAGTGGCATCAAAAATGAGATTCTTTTGTAAAAATAAACTTTGGCTGAACTCCAATTTGAAAATACAAAAATCCAGGCACAAAGAGAGACTGAAACATTAATAAAAATGATTAAAATTAAAAGAAGGTCAAGAAGAAATAGACTAAAAATTAAATGATATTTAGCAGAAATGAAAAAAAGAGAGAGACACAAACTTAGAAGAATGAGATGGAAAAATAAAACAGCACCAAGAAAAAATAGATAACTAAATGAAAATCAAGAGGTAAGAGATGGGAACTTAAGAGAAGAATTAATATAGAGATGTGCTACTTAGAGATCACTAAAATCAAAAAGAAATCTGATTGAAGACAAGATTGATGAAGCTACTTATGTGCACAGAGAGATTACAACAACAAGATCAATGAAAATCAGAAAGACGTCAACTAAACACAAAAAGGCTGTAACGACAAAATCGAAGAGTTAAAAAAAGAGATTAATGAGGCAAAAAAGAACACCATTAATAGCATAAAACATCTGGAAAATGAACTGGTAAATTCAAAGGTTAACCAGCCACACCTCTTTCTGCATCGACCCAAGAATTGCAACCTAAAACACCATCTACAAAATACAGAAAAGGTAAACATATTATAGGTCTCCATTTATTACCACTACAGTTGCACCATCTGTTTAACCATGTCATGAACAAGAACATTTACAGAATTTACCTGGCCAATTCACCATTGTCTGATTCAGATACAAATGAACTATGATGGAGAAATATCATGAAAGGCATATCAGACTCAGTTTAAAATAATTTGCTGATTAAATTGGTGGAATAGTGAACAACAAACTATTTACACTGCTGCCTATTTAACCCTCTCCAGATGGATCACAAGTCAAACATCATGTTGTTGCAGGTAAATATTAAAAAACACAGTTAAACCTTGATTTTTGTGTGTCATACGGTATGTTAAATGCAGCGCTGGTTCAAATTAGATGTTTGGGATGTCAAAATACTAAGTCTTTAGTTTCATAAGAATTAGTAACTCAAATGACCAATACTGACAAACTAGAATATAAAGTAAGAACCTCCTATTTTTTCTATTTGCTGAGAAATCACTCGTTGTACTGAATCAAACACAGTGTCCTCGCTCACCTCTTTCCATTTTTGAAAATGGTCCCTTTTATACACTTACTTCAATATATGACTTCATTATATCATATATTACTTCATTATAATATACAGTTTGATACCAAACTTATTGACATAAATTCATGAAATAGTTTGATAAAATTTAGAATATTGGTCAACAAACCCGATGACATAGCCTTTGACCCATGACCCGTCTTAAGTAGGTTAAGCATGTGGTAATTCCCAACATCTCAAAAGATGGCTGGAATAATCTTGCCATTTACAAGCCTCCAAAAGTGGCAGACAAAATAAAGACCAAGAGCAAACACTCAGAATTAAATATAAATTACCATCCTTTGAGAATTCAATATAAAAATTAAAGCTTTTGAAACAAAAGCTAAAGAAAACAAAAATCAAAATTTTGTTAAGGATGTAAATCTCGTAAAGTTCAACACAGACCAGAAATTTTAAACATGTCTGGTCAATATAGTGTCAAGGAGAAGAAGGAAGTTCTCAATTGCAAATGCATTAGGGGAGTTGTTGTACATAGAGGTATATAACCATCCTATTGGTGGAAGGATTTTGTTGCATGACGTCATTATGCAGAAGTGCAACTCGTAAGAAACCTCATAAGATCAGGTGAGAGTTCAATAAAAGGTAGTGGCATGGAAATCTCTTAGGCATACACATGGGGAAGATAGCTAAAGTATGTGAAGATGTGTGGTATCATCTTAGAAGATCACTGTTTATAGCCTCCATTATACATCACACTTAACAACTCTAATCGAGTGTTTCACATTACATAATAGCCAATTAACCCTATTGCACAGGGTACCCTTCATTGCGCATGACACAATATTTTGTCTTACATTCAAAATCTTAAAGTACTTTTTGTTTATGTTATACCAATTAGAATAATCTAATAATACATATTTTAATAGTATACAAGTTTTAAGTTCTTAATTCTACAAGGAAATATTTTTAAAAATCCTGAATTTCCACTAGTGTGACCCACATGCCACATTTTGTCTTAGCATGTTATCATCCATATTTTTCCATTTTGCCTGGCATGGCCAGGTGGTTAGGGTGCTCGACTCACAATTTGAGGGTCGCGGGTTCGAATCCCCATCCTATCAAACATGCTTGCCCTTTCAGTCGTGGGTGTGTTATAAAGTGATGGTCAATCCCACTATTTGTTGGTAAAATAGCGTTGGCGGTGGGTGATAATGACTAGCTGCCTTCCCTCCAGTCTTACACTGCTAAATTAGGGACAGCTAGTGCAGATAGCCCTCGTGTAGCTTTGAGCTAAATTCAAACAAACAATCAAAGGGCAATAAAACAATAAAATTTAATTGTAAATAAATGTATAAAGTTACGAAGTTAGAGCTACTTAGGATAAACAAATGTAGTTTGATGTTACAATTTGAAGAGATTCTAGAAAGAAA